TTTATTTATATTTATTTTTTTTACTTTTATTTTTACTTTGCCTCGCTCGATCTTTGCTTTATTGTTTTTTTATGCCTTTTTTCAGTATCTCATTTTTTCTCAATATTTTTAAATAAATTTGGAAATGTATTTGTTTCTTCCACTCTTTTTTCTATATATGTAAATAAGAGAGAAAGAAAGACATAATAATTTTTTATTTTTTAATGCCATTTTTTTACAATAATTATCGACAATGTTAAATTTTCTAAATTTTATGCGCTTAGGAAGCATCATCCCGATAATTTTTGGGAAGCTCTAAAAAATGCTTACGATAAAATAAATCCAAGATCATATGACATAAAAGAGATGATGTATCCTTGGTCAAAACAAAAGGGATATCCTGTGTTGAATGTATTACACGTTCGAGTAGGGGCGTGATCGAGAGGACTGCTTGTGGCGAGAATAATCGCGAGATCGTTGCTGCGTGAGCGAGCGGAGAGGATCTCGGCGATCGACGGCGAAGGACCTCATCGACCCCTGGCCGTCCCGACGGGAGGAAAAGTACCGGTGAGGTTGTCCTCCGCCATATTCACCACTCGGGATCGCGCCCGGAATCGTTTCGTTCTGTCGTCGTCGCCGTGAATTCGTACTTTGGTGTACGGGCTAAGCCCGATTCTTTAGTGTAGATTTTCGCGTCACGGCCACGTCGTGTATTACATCATGATGCGGACAGCGTAAATGTATCGGTAGCCAATCTTAATGGACCAAATGAAAATCGATGGATACCTGTCAGCTATGCCACAGAGACATATCCTAATTTTAATATTCCTGCGCCACTTCTTTGGTTGAAACCGCCAAAGAAACCGTTTAATCATCCATATAATCATTATTTTATATTGCCTCTCAGATACAGAGAGGATGGTTGGATTATATTTAACATACAACAAATTGGTAAACTTAAAAAATAAATCTGTATATATATATATGTATATGCATGTGAAAATATAATTTTAGTTTCTATTATCAGAAAATTAGTATTGTTATATAAATATATATATATACATATACACGCATATATCATACATCGATTTTCATCTTTTTCACTAAATAGCAACTTCTACTAATCTACTATAATAGCTACAACAAATTATACAATCATGTTAAATACATAAAATTGAAAATGACAGAGATTAACAAAAATATAAATATATTATAACAAAAATTAAAGATGAAAAATATGTACAACACAAAATAGTGAATAGATACATGTGATAAAATCGCGTTTGTACAATATATATAATTTGGTCATTATTTATAACTAAATTATCTTTTAAATTTATACAAAACTTTACTTTTACAACTTGATTTTCCAATTTAATAATACATAAAATTTATTTATTAAACAACAGGATATTATCGTATCAACTACGATACTAGATATTGGCAAAAAATTGCTTTATATCTGAACAGTGAGAATTATCGGAAAATACATGTTCTAAATCGTGCTCAAATCATCGATGATGCGTTTCATTTCATGTTATTGCACAAATTAAAAGCTCCAATATTCTGGGAACTTACAAAATACCTATCGCAAGAGATAGATTACATAGCATGGTATCCTATGTTCAAAGCTATTCAATATTTCTTGCATAAATTGCGTGCGTGTGTGTGCCGAGCATTCGATTCTGCGTAACATGTCCGTCCGAAATCAGCATGTCCGCGTCGTATTAATTGCCTGTTAATCTTAACTTGCGTATTAATAATTTAGCGGTAATAGCGGGCGATAAGGTCGCCGTTGGCGAGGTGATATCGAGAATTGATTATTTATAACTAAATTATCTTTTAAATTTATACAAAACTTTACTTTTACAACTTGATTTTCCAATTTAATAATACATAAAATTTATTTATTAAACAACAGGATATTATCGTATCAACTACGATACTAGATATTGGCAAAAAATTGCTTTATATCTGAACAGTGAGAATTATCGGAAAATACATGTTCTAAATCGTGCTCAAATCATCGATGATGCGTTTCATTTCATGTTATTGCACAAATTAAAAGCTCCAATATTCTGGGAACTTACAAAATACCTATCGCAAGAGATAGATTACATAGCATGGTATCCTATGTTCAAAGCTATTCAATATATATCAAATTCCTTTACATATCTAGAAATGGGAGAATATCCTACTAAGGTAAATAATGATAGATTTCGTGAATAAAAATATTTTACTTTGTATCTCTTATATTTTATTTTGTATGCAACAATGAACAAATATATTCATTGTTGCATACAAGACATTGGCTTCTTATAAACAAGCAGATATTTTTCTGAAAAATTAAAATATATGTCGCTGAAATAGTTATATGCTTTCTTACAATCTTATTTAGATCAAAAACAGAAATTTAAAGAACGAAAAAAAATTTTTTTTTTTTTCGTTAGATCAACACTCGCCCTGCCCCTCTACTGTTAGGCGAGCTAATCAGCCCTTGGCGAATTCCGGCAATTTCTTTCGCGTTTATCTCGCGCTTATTTCGTGTCTCGCGAATTGATACGTGAAAGATCGTATCTGGCGCCCAAGTTCGATTCTCGCGATCCTCTGTCGGCGCAATTTACACCCGCGCGACGGAGAGAACGTGTCGGCGGCCGCGTTTATCGCTCAGCCGCGAGACGATAGGAAAAGTCGTCGCAGTATATAATATAGAATAAATAAATAAAACTACATCAATCGTAAAAATCAAAGATCACAAAAGGCACAATAAATCATATACACAAACTGTGACTTTCAAGACACATCAATAATGTAACGAATTTGTTAGCAATTCTTAGGAATTTAAGATTATTCTTCCCGCCCTATGTTTTCAAAAACGTTCTGTCACTTTTAACGTTCTGTTATTTTTAAATTGATAATTAATTATTAATTTATAATATCAATTTATGTTTAAACATCTTAAAACTTTTTAACTCAATTCAAGATAAAATTGTTCTATGATTAAAAAATTGCGAGAAATAATAATCATTTTAGAAGATTAATTAAGATTAAAGATTTGATAAGATAACTTCTGACTCAAATGCTATTTTTCATAATACAAATTTTTTCATCACTGTAAAAGGAATTTAAAATATTAAATTTTCTTTTTTTACATAATAAAAAAAGTCCCCTGTTATACTATTTTTTTTATTTATGTATTTTTTAATAAAAAAAATTTTTTTGCAGATAGAATTGAAAGGATAATTGAAATGGCATGTCTAATATTGTTATTAAGTGGCGTTCTAACATTCATCGTCGTGACGGTTTATTCTTCCGACGAAAATGCATTAAAATCATTGACCAACATAATACCGGAACATTATAACATCAACTTTAATTTATATGTCGAACAAAATACTTTCATGGGCGAATGCGAGATTAACATTAAAATTCTTGAACCAACGCACACAATAAGCATGTTTGCAGAAAAAATGACCATGATGCGATCAAGATTGATAGTTCCACTGTCTAATCGGAATACATTTGATATCTATAATGAACTCGGACATTCGTATGATTATGATAAGAATATCTTCCACATTTATTTTAATGAAGAATTATCACCAGGGCATTACATTTTGAATGTAAGATATACCAGTTCTATGTTTAATAACGGAGGCTTTCAGCGGATTTTTTACTACAGCGAAGAGGGAATAATGTAACTATTAAAATACATAAATTATTAAATACATATCATTATAATATACAAACATCATTCATTATTAATTATTATTAACCATCATCGCTATGAGATATGTATATAGAATTTTAATTACGTATTTATATATATATATATAAGATTTTTGATAAAACACTATTTAAACATATATAGCTCTCTCTTTCACATACAATTTTTCAAAATATAGATATAATAACATTTGTTTCTATATTATCATGTTTTTTTCATATTATTTTATATTTCAATGTATTTCTTTTATTATAAAATTTAAACCTAAAAGAAATTTGGAGATATTTATAAAAATTTTGAGTATTAAAAAATGCTCTTTATCTGTTGTATATTCTAAATGTTTCTAATATTATAAACATTTTTTAAATATTATTTATTAGTCAATTAAAATTAAAATGATTCGATTCTTTCAAATTTTTATAATATCTAACAATAAGTAAAGAGATTGGCAGAAAAAGGCGTGCATGTATATATCAATTTTAAAAAGGTCTGTTTGTAACAATACATTTTAAATGATTTTGAAGATGTTTAATGTTTAATCTGAATCAATTACATTGCATGTTATTTTTCAAAAATACTTTATTTTTAAACTATATTATGAGAAAGAATAAAAAATAAAGCTTCTTTTAACAATATAGTAATAGCATTTTGCTAATACAAATGCATTTTTCTTCCAATTAAATATTTATATAATCAACAAAACTTTCCTCTCTAGAGTTTGCCAAATTCTCGGATAATAGATTTGTTCGTGGTCCAATTTCAACATGAGTCCCTTCACTTTGATGTTGATGACAGGATGTTGCCTCATACTTATCAAGGCAAAGCCGTCTCAGTTGAAATTGCTAATTACGTCAAAGGTATGATTGAACATGATTAAATAATCACTTATAAATTTCTATGCTAACATAATAAAAAAAAATATAAAAAGCTAAAAATAAAAAAATTTATCTTTAGTTTATTAATATAATATATACGTATATGTACATAACGTACATAAACATATATATTCATATACATACACAGACACATAAA